GGAAATATTTTATTTCTATCTATTAAAAACAAAATTACAAGGTAGATAATTACAAGATTTCCAAATATACAGAATATAAAAACCGATATCCACTTACTTAAAAGTAACACGTTTTTATTAAAAAAAAATTCCCGCTATCGACTGAGATTTATTTTGAAATCATTTTTAAAATTCAGGCTAGGTCTCATTTTCGGAGAAACACGGTAGATGAGTGAAATGGACAATTTTTATCATTCTATGTGTTAGATATAACAGCAGAGAGCACTTGAAGATAATCAGAGGGTTACGCTTGCATTAAAATTGCTTCCAACTGTATTATAGATGGATATTATAGATGGGCGAATTAAATTTGTTTTCCGCATAAAACTGGCATTTGCTCTATGCTGGGAATTAGTATATAACAATGGAAGTGACGTAAAACGCGTTGATAGGGGCTCGTTACCATATACGTCATAATTACAATTTATGAGTCAAGATTGTTGCTGCGTTAGGTGTGTTTACTAATTTGGCAATTAATACAACAGAGAGAAGAGAGCATACATGGAAAAAATAATGTGGTCCGCGTGATACGGAAAAATCACAAAATGAATTATTGCTGTAGTCGCAATTATTGTCAAAGCAGAATGTTTGTTATATTACTTCTGTGTTAATCAATGTCAGATGTTTCGTTTTCACTTGCCAAAATTGAGCATCATTCTAATTCTTTTTAAATGTTCAAACTGTTGTTCAAAAATTGCACATGTCTCGTTCGCGCGCCACATTCGAGTAATTTTCGACGTTTTTACCGCATGACAAAAACAAAATCACAAAATGAATCATTGCGGTATGGACAGTTGTTGTTAGGACAGTCTTGCTACTTCTATGTTAATAATAAGTGACAGATGTTTCGTTCGCGCGCCAAATCCGAGCATTTTTCATAATTCTGTTTAAATATTGCACATGTTTTGTTCACGCGCCAAATTCGATAAAAGGTCCCAATCTTTTAGAGCAGTGCTTTAATATTTTATTAATTGGAGTCAATATTCAGATTTTTGGAATTTTTTAGACTGAAATGTAATATTATAAATGGATGAATCAAATTTGTTTTCCGCACAAAACAGGCCAATGTTTCTAAGCTAGGAATAGTTTATAGCAAAGGGAAGTGAAGTAAAACGCGTTGATGGGGGATTGCTATCATACACAGCATAATCACAATTTATGAGTCAAGATAACTGCTGAGTTAATAATGCGTTTTTACTAGTTTAGTGCTGGATGTAGCAGAGAGAAGAGAGCATACATAGAAAAAGTAACGGTGTCCGCGTGACATGGAAAAATCACAAAATGAATTATTGCGAGAGTCGCAATTATTGTTAGGACAGAAAGGTATTCATGTATTAAAATAGCTTCCAATCGTAATATTATTAAACAGGCAAATTTTCTGAGCTGGGAATAGTCTATGGCTAAGGGAAGTGACGTAAACGCGTTGATAGGGGCTTGTTATAACATACGATTTAATTAAAATTTATGAATCAAGATTGATGCTGCGTTATTATGGTGTATTTACTGATTTAGTACTATTTAATATTCTGTGTGTTAGATATAACAGCAGAGGGCACTTGGAGTCAATCAGAGAGTTATGCGCGCATTAAAATTGCGGTACTCCCGTAGTATGTGTACCAGGTTAGGGCTAGATCATAATGTTATTCTAATTTTGCCTCATCTTAGTTCTATTACGAGTTCGGGAACTGTCTGTGTTAGCCAAATGAATATACCCTCTGCCCATAGGTTTCAGTCCTTTACACAACTTGCTGTAAAGTAGGCGAACAAAATTAGTTACCTCCATATTGATACACATACTTCTTGAGCGCCAAAATTGCTTCCAACTGTAATATTATGAATGGACGCATCAAATTTGTTTGCCGCACAAAACAGGTCAATTTCTCAAAGCTAGGAATAGTTTATAGCAAAGGGAAGTGACGTAAAACGCGTTGATGGGGGATCGCTACCATATACGGCATATTCACAATTTATGAGTCAAGATAACTGCTGCGTTAATATGGTGTGTTTACTAATTTATTGCTAGATTTAGAAGAGAGAAGAGAGCATACATAGAAAAATAACGGTGGTCCGCGTGATACGGAAAAATCACAAAATAAATTATTGGGAAATTGACAATCATTCTTAGGAAAGGGTGTTTGTCTTAGTACTTCTATGTTAATAGTAATTGACAGTTGCTTGGTCCACTTGCCAAATTCGAGCATTATTAAAATTCTTTCAAATGTTCAAAATGTTGTTTAAATATTGCACATGTCTCGTTCGCGCGCCACATTCGAGTAATTTTCGAAGTTTTTCCGCATGACATGGAAAAAAACAAAACAAAAAATGAATCATTGCGGTAGTGACAGTTGTTGTTAGGACAGTCTTGCTACTTCTATGATAATAATAAGTGACAGATGTTTTGTTCACGCGCCAAATTCGATAAAAGGTTCCAATCTTTTAAAGTAGTGCTCTAATATTTTAATAATTGGAGTCAATATTCAGATTTTTGGAATTTTTTAGACTGAAATGTAATATTATAAATGGATGAATCAAATTTGTTTGCCGCATAAAACAGGCAATTTTTCTAAGCTAGGAATAGTTTATAGCAAAAGGAAGTGACGTAAAACGCGTTGATGGGGTTTGCTATCATACACAGCATAATCACAATTTATGAGTCAAGATAACTGCTGAGTTAATAATGCGTTTTTACTAGTTTAGTGCTAAATATAGCAGAGATAGGAGCATACCTAGAAAAGGTAACGGTGTCCGCGTGACATGGAAAAATCACAAAATGAATTATTGCGAGAGTCGCAATTATTGTTAGGACAGAAAGGTATTCGTGCATTAAAATAGCTTCCAATCGTAATATTATTAAACAGGCAAATTTTCTGAGCTGGGAATAGTCTATGGCTAAGGGAAGTGACGTAAATGCGTTGATAGGGGCTTGTTATAACATACGATTTAATTATAATTTATGAATCAAGATTGATGCTGCGTTATTATGGTGTATTTACTGATTTAGTACTATTTAATATTCTGTGTGTTAGATATAACAGCAGAGGGCACTTGGAGTCAATCAGAGAGTTATGCGCGCATTAAAATTGCGGTACTCCCGTAGTATGTGTACCAGGTTAGGGCTAGATCATAATGTTATTCTAATTTTGCCTCATCTTAGTTCTATTACGAGTTCGGGAACTGTCTGTGTTAGCCAAATGAATATACCCTCTGCCCATAGGTTTCAGTCCTTTACACAACTTGCTGTAAAGTAGGCGAACAAAATTAGTTACCTTCATATTGGTACACATACTTCTTGAGCGCCAAAATTGCTTCCAACTGTAATATTATGAATGGACGCATCAAATTTGTTTGCCGCACAAAACAGGTCAATTTCTCAAAGCTAGGAATAGTTTATAGCAAAGGGAAGTGACGTAAAACGCGTTGATGGGGGATCGCTACCATATACGGCATATTCACAATTTATGAGTCAAGATAACTGCTGCGTTAATATGGTGTGTTTACTAATTTATTGCTAGATTTAGAAGAGAGAAGAGAGCATACATAGAAAAATAACGGTGGTCCGCGTGATACGGAAAAATCACAAAATAAATTATTGGGAAATTGACAATCATTCTTAGGAAAGGGTGTTTGTCTTAGTACTTCTATGTTAATAGTAATTGACAGTTGCTTGGTCCACTTGCCAAATTCGAGCATTATTAAAATTCTTTCAAATGTTCAAAATGTTGTTTAAATATTGCACATGTCTCGTTCGCGCGCCACATTCGAGTAATTTTCGAAGTTTTTCCGCATGACATGTAAAAAACAAAACAAAAAATGAATCATTGCGGTAGTGACAGTTGTTGTTAGGACAGTCTTGCTACTTCTATGATAATAATAAGTGACAGATGTTTTGTTCACGCGCCAAATTCGATAAAAGGTTCCAATCTTTTAAAGTAGTGCTTTAATATTTTAATAATTGGAGTCAATATTCAGATTTTTGGAATTTTTTTAGACTGAAATGTAATATTATAAATGGATGAATCAAATTTGTTTGCCGCATAAAACAGGCAATTTTTCTAAGCTAGGAATAGTTTATAGCAAAAGGAAGTGACGTAAAACGCGTTGATGGGGATTGCTATCATACACAGCATAATCACAATTTATGAGTCAAGATAACTGCTGAGTTAATAATGCGTTTTTACTAGTTTAGTGCTAAATATAGCAGAGATAGGAGCATACCTAGAAAAGGTAACGGTGTCCGCGTGACATGGAAAAATCACAAAATGAATTATTGCGAGAGTCGCAATTATTGTTAGGACAGAAAGGTATTCGTGCATTAAAATAGCTTCCAATCGTAATATTATTAAACAGGCAAATTTTCTGAGCTGGGAATAGTTTATGGCTAAGGGAAGTGACGTAAACGCGTTGATAGGGGCTTGTTATAACATACGGCTTAATTATAATTTATGAATCAAGATTGATGCTGCGTTATTATGGTGTATTTACTGATTTAGTACTATTTAATATTCTGTGTGTTAAATATAACAGCAGAGGGCACTTGGAGTCAATCAGAGAGTTATGCGCGCTTTAAAATTGCGGTACTCCCGTAGTATGTGTACCAGGTTAGGGCTAGATCATAATGGTATTCTAATTTTGCCTCATCTTGGTTCTATTACGAGTTCGGGAACTGACTGTGTTAGCCAAATGAATATACCCTCTGCCCATAGGTTTCAGTCCGGTCGGGCCAGATCCGGGCGGGCCAGGCGGGCCAGATTGAATTACCCGCCGAATTTAGCTCGTGGACCGTACTTTGACCATGTTTGGTGTAAATGGTTTGTCAAATACACATTTTAATAATTTACAAAAAGTTTTATCGCTAATAGAAAAATATTGATCACGATTTCGAACCCGCCACCCTCTATAATAAAAAGCGTGGGAACTTACTGCGTCGTTGTTGACATTATCTAAAATAAATATTTTTTCACAGAACTCACATTCTAGCTAATCATTTAGTTGTGTCATCAAACTTTCCTAGAAGCAAACATGGACTTCGTCGAAATACTATTCTTTATCTCTCTCATCTGTGGCTTGATGGCGGAGAAAAAAATACCAGGTAAGATTTGTTGCGATTTTTGATTTTGATAAATTGGTTTTATAAATTGATTGTGAGGCTTAGCCAATAGCCAACCACTTCGCGGACTCCATAACAGCAAGTGTACTCCCGGTCGAATGAAGCCTAAATTTTATGACACAATGATTCTTAAAATATAACATTTTGTTTTTTCCAGCTGGAGTCTGCGTCACGAAAATCGTCGATGGAAAACTCGTCCAAGTTGGAGATTGCAAGGTAAAATTAATATGTTATTTTTTGTGATACCCAATACACACTGCGTTAGGTGCGGGCAATTTGCCATAAAAAATTACCTTGCAATTCCTAAATTTCTAATGCTCAAAATCAGGGGTGTGTAACCTTTAATACAGAAGAGCCAGATACAAAGAACTGGGTTGTAGCTGTAGGTAACATAGCAACTTTCCAGTAGTTGCAGGCTCCAAAATTATGTTATTGATCTTATTACATGCGTTGTTCGCTTCGCACAAGCTAGCGGTTAGGGCATTGTAACGTCATAGATAATGATTTAGACTCTTCTATACATAAATAGATTACAGTTATTCGCAAGTATCAAATTGAACTGGATTAAAAACTCGTTCCGCGGGCCTGTCATTTTCTTAAAGGCCGCATTTGACCCAATGGCCGCAGGTTGCACAGCCCTGCTCTAAATACATTATAGATTGGACTCAATTTCATGACCCTAAATCAATAAGAATTCGCTGACCCTACTTCCGCATGTCACTGCTGACCCGACTTCCGCATGTCACGCAACTAATGTAATAAAAACAACTTACGTGTTAAAATTACTTTGTTAATAAGCTTCGTTTTGTATTTATTTTACAGAAAAACGATGGATCCGGTGAGTTTGCTCTATTCCATAATATATATTTTGGGTTCAAAGGGTAAACGAAGGACATACTCCGGATTTATAATTGCGCATAAATCTGTAAGGTTTCCTGGAATATAAACTGATTAAAGCTTAAATAATAACTGATTAAAAGTCTTAAGCCGTGGGCGCACCCCACAAAAGGGGGCATAGACAATTTTTTGAGTGGCGTTAATTAGCCAATTAAAAATAAAAACATTTGTTGTATTTAACATTGCGTTCCATACTCGTATTCTCAACGGGGTTTTGAAAAAAAAAGTTTTCTTTTGACTATCTCTTATTTGTATCTTATTGTTGGCTAGGTATTTTTAAGATGGCGTGCGAGACTTGACAAATTCTAAAAAAAAAGCGTGGCTCTAAATTTTTGTAATCACTGAATTAAAGTATCAACTGATAGCTCAATTTTGGGGAAATTTTTTTTTTTCATTTTCACTTGTTTGGTAGGGACGAAGTTGCTTTTCCTGAGTCACCAGGGCATATTTAATTTGGTACTCCCGTAGTATGTGTACCAGGTTTGAATTAGGCCATAGTTTTATTCTAATTTTCCTTATTTTAGTTTTATTACTTTATCTTGATCGGTAGGTATGTTGATTTGTCTGTCTGTTAGATACACGCGATATCTCACGGAAGCGAGGTTGAATCTGCTTCAAATTTTGCATGCACATTCACCATCTCGGACCAGAAAAGCCTATTGATTTTGGATAATTTATGTCATAAATTCATTCTTAGCTCAAATCTAAAGATAAAGATAAGTCGTCGTGCTCTGATCGCTATCTCGTTACGAGTTCGAGAACTATCTGTGTTAGCAAAGTGAACATACATACCCCTAGTCCATAAGTTTCAGTCCCTTTACACACCTTGATGTAAAATCGGCGAACAAAATTAGTTACTTCCATATTGGTACACACACTTCGGGAGCACCTGTTTTTGTATTGTTGCCGTATATTGCCAATTTCATTACAGATATCCTCAACCTGATCAAAAAGAATCTCGAGGAGAAAGAAAAAGCTGAAAGTAATTCATTTTTCTTTTTTTTATAACCATTTTGAATATAAAATCTGCCACACCCGTCTGAGCGTTGGGGGTGGTTATGTAAGTTGAATCGACATTCAATTTACAAAATATTTCGAGAATTCGACTCGTAGTCGTGGTTGGGTCATCAATCGAACGCTGACATGGGCGAACTATAACCCGCGAGCAAAATCTAGTCCGCTGGGTAATTTAATCTGGCCCACCTGCTACTACCAAACTAAAATTTAACCAAATAAAAGCTCCAGAAGTATGGGCACCAAGATGTCGTACAACCTGAACCCTAACCGCCGCACACATACTATGTTCAGGTTGTGCGCCATCTTGGTGCCCATACTTCTGGAGCTCCCCAAATTTTGATGTTTTATCTAAAAAAATAGTTTTAGCACGAGGCTTATTGTTTTACACTGTACATATTGTTCATAAAATGTAACTTTTTATGTCACACTTACAGGGCCCGCCAGTCTAGATGGGCCAAATTTTGGCCCCTGGTCCAAAAACCTTGTTCACCTCTGAGTCCAACGACTTCTTCCGTGAGGCGCAGTTCTTACCACTTCATGGCAGCTCCTGCCACGAACCAACCGCGGCAGCTCTCGCCATGGTTTTATAGCGCTATTCAGTAATCAGTATTAACGGTATATTCACAAATTAATGTACCAGATTTAAATTGATCATACGGAATTATATCTACTTAAACCCTAACCCCAAATTCATCAAAACTGTATTCATAAGTAAAAAAATTGCCAACTTACCCAATATTTGTCACCATAAGGGACAGCCCCGTCTTCACGGCCCACCTGCCGTGGTTACGGCAGCAAAATTTTACCTGCCATTGGTTTTCAATTTGCTGCCGCGGTAACGGCAGCTCGTCATTGGTTTGTGGCAGCTAAAAAGTCAGTCGCCATAGGTTTGGCCGTAGCGGCCATAGTATGGAAATACCGCCATGGTTTTGCGGCAACTGCAGACGCCACAGAATACTTAAAACTGCACTTGTCTTCCGTCTACCACGTATCCGAACTTGCTCACTGTTGTTACATTCAAACGAATTTCGCATCATCGGCCCTTTTTTCGATGTACAGTATTTTTGAACAAATCTGACAAAGGTCAGATCTGAAATTTAGTGACGTAACTTCGTTGACGAATTGATGGATATAAAAGAAGAAAAAAGAAAACAGTTGAATGACTAGAATTTTACTGTAATCTGTAATTATTTTCGTCCTTCCTAATATAAAATATCCAACAATTACGATAATTTTTTTTTAGGTAAATGTGGCGTCACATACAACTCCAAATACTTCCGAGCAGTTGTGTATCGTGAAAACAATGTCACCTTCAACGCAGCCGAATCAATCTGCAAATCAATGAACAACGGAAAACCTGCGAATATCTACGACCTTGCGCATCTCCAGTTTCTGTTCAAATATCTACGTTTGCTGATCCCTGCTGATCAGGACAGGATGCAGGCCTGGACTGGGATGGAGTATGAGGTCAGTTTGATACTGTAAAGAACAGTATAAGGTAAATGAAGGCGCAGCCCGCGGTTTACCCAGTTATTTGTATCTGGCCCTCCTGAATTGAAGGTTGCACACCACTGATCTATAGGAATATAAAAAAAATAGAAACTAAACAAGAAGACGGACATTGTCTTCTGCTAATTGCCGACACAAAAAGTTGTTGATCTTGTAACATGCATTGTTCGCTTCGCACAAGATAGCTGTTAGGTTATTGTAATTTATTGGAATAACTCACGCGTACCAAATTAAACTGAATCAAAACCTAGTTTCACGGGCCGCACGCCATTCAAAATTGGCACTTCGCAGCGAGTCGCACAATTTTCTTTCTTGTGGTTCGCATTTAGCCCGCGGGTCGCAGGGTATACACCCCTGCTATGCATGATTTTTATTTCGCAGGCCCCTAATTCATGAAGTTTTGACCGGGTTTGGACTTCCATCACCCATGAGGCGTGAGACAAAATACTCTTCTCTCTCTTCCTCGGCCACTGGGCTGAAGGGTCGACTGCGTTTTGCCATATTCTATATATTGTAAATGTCGTGGTAAATTGTGGAGTTGTCGTACTATAAACTACCAATCCGGAATAGTCTCGTGACTTATTTGCAGCCACTGTAGCAAAACCAACAAGTGACAACATATCAAAAAGTGAAATCCGAGTGCGCAGCAGACAAAAAATTCTTTTCGCAAAGATGGACACTTCCGCTTTAGGAATTAAAATGAAAATTACCATTAAGTTGCAAAAAACAGCATTAATTTCTAATACAATGAAATTACCTAATTTATTACTGAGTCTAACAATTTTTAATAGATTTGGGGCCCACCTCAATATGTTTTTGTGGCCCAGCAATGAGCTATGTCCCACTGGTTGCGAACCGGTGATCTAATATGTCAGTTTAGTAAATATTTCAAGCAACAGATTTTGTCATTTGTTATTCAATTGTTACAGAACAATCAGCTCTTTCTGTCTACTGGAGAAGAAATCACCATAGCAACAGAAGGATGGTTCCCCGGTTTTCCGCAGAAATCCGAATCATACAAAAATGTTGCTGTTGAGTTATATAAAGATCCAGAGTACAGCAGCCAGGGATTGTTCAATTATCCACCATCATTTCATAGCAATGCTGTCATCTGTGAAATATAAAACCAGCTCAAAGCCGAACAGAACTTCGTTGACGGATTGAATAAAATAAATGACAAAACCAGTTAAATGACTAAAATTTCACTGTAAACTTTATGGTTGAACTTGTTCAGATATCAGTTTCATCATCAAAAATTTTGTTTACTTTACTATGGCCGTCAATTTTACATTAGGGCTGGCCGTTTCGAATCGAATATTCAAATCGAATTGATTTGTTAATTATTCGAATCAGTTCAAAGCAAAATTTCGAATCGCCGCCATCTTGTTTTTTTGTCGTCAATGGTCAAAGTTAATTTCCCAATTTTGTTTATTGAAGCCATATTTTTTTAACGCAATTCTGACATATCACTATTTCCTGTAGTGATTTATTGATAAAAACGTGTTTTTATTGTGTGTGAACGCTCCTGAATCTGTCTGAGTGATGTATTCTATGTTTTCAGTAACACATCAGTATATCATATGTTGACAGGACCAATTACAATAAAAACATCGCATACAATTACATATTCCCATAGAATCCCAAGTATTCGACATTCGATTCGATTCGAAGAAATATTCGATTCGATTCTGAAATCATCAAGTATTCGAAAATGCCCAGCCATATTTTACCGGATGCACACTATCACTTATTACTGGGCCACGGCTGATTATATACATGGACTATGAACACCCCCAAAACATAAACGAGAATATTGGTCAGAGACCGACGACTTATCGATCAAAAGTTAGGGAATCCCCAAAACAGCGCTCTTACTTCATAGTGACACCTTGTGTCCGATCACTAATTAATTAATAACTCGCTAATTATACGACATAATTCCTCCAATATCAATAGGCTTCTGGTCCGACATGTGATGAATACACATAATAAATCTGGAGCAGATTCAATCTCGTTTTCGTGAGATATCGCGTGCATTTAACAAACAGACAGACAGACATACGGACAGACAGACAAATACCTATCAACATACTTACCGATTAAAATCGATAAGTAATAACACAAATTATTCTTAAATCCTAATAGATTGCTTCCTTTTACAATGCCTGTCTTCCTGGCATTAACATTATTTTATAAAGACACTTTACATATGTTTATATGAGTTAAATTACTGATATATTTATTTGTGCTTTTTCAATCGTCAAAAATAGGTCCGTTATTAGAATCAGACCTAATGGATTTTTTAACAACACATCATTATACCGTGTTTCTCCGAAAATAAAACCTATCCTGAATTTTGAAAAATGTAAATATAAACCCTCCCCTTGAAATAAGACATAGTCGATCGCGCGACATCTATTTTTTTGATCCAGTGAATACTGGAAAATTAATTTGAATGAATTCTTCATTGAAATTTATGAATATAGTGACCTGCAAGATATGGTCATTTTTGAATAATCTATGTTTAGCAGTTTTTTTTTTAATAAAAACGTTATTTGTAAGTAAACGAACATCGGTTTTCATATGTTGTGTATTTGAAAAACTCGTAATTATCTATTTTGTAATTTTGTTTTTGATGAATGAAAATAAAAGACATCTCCCCAAAAAAAGTCCCTATGGCTATTTTTCGAGAGAAAATTGAAATACTACCCTGTCCTATTTTTGGGGGAACGCGGTACTTGTTTTTATTTACTTTATTATTACTTTACTTTTATTATCTTGAGTTGTATTTTGCAAATTTGGCTCTCTAGAAGTATGTGTACCAATATGAAGGTAACTAATTTTTCTCGCCTACTTTACATCAAGTTGTGTAAATGAACGTAAGCCTATGGGCAGGAGGTATATTCACTAACACAGACAGTTCCAGAACTCCTATTAGAACTAAAATAAGGTAAATTGAAAAAAAATTATGGCCTAACCCTAACCTGGTACACATACTACGACAGTACCGCAATTTTAGATAAATTGTATTTCTGTATATAACCAAACATAATATTAATTATTGATTCGATCATTTGTGTGTTTTCTTTGCTTTTGTTTATCTGCTCATGGAAGTCAAACAGAAAAGGTAATGAACCGTAAATAGATATTTATTCGTGCGTGGAAATGACCACGCCTATCATACATATGTTTACATCGGGTTAAAGCAGGTATATTAGATAGAATCTCTGGTAGGCTCCTCCAGGCACATAAATTCCTGCAAAACTAGAGTCCATCATTCAGACAGTTTTCCGAGCGTTCACACACAATTAGAAACATAATTCATCAATAAATCACAAGGAAGAAAAGAGTCGTATGGCTGAATTGCATTGTAAAAAATATGGCTTTAATAAAAAAAAATTTAGGAATTCACCTCGACTTTTGGTGTCAAAATATCGAGACGACGACGATTCAAAATTTTCGTCTGAACGGATTCGAGTAATGTACTGTTCGATACACGCAATGTCAAAAGAGATTTCAATTAATATAGCGGATTCAATATTCGTTTTCAGTAGTCTTACAAAAGTAAGTTAAACGACAATGTACCGTTTTCTATCATTTCTCGTGTAGTTATATTTCAAAAACGTATATTTAACATAACACTAGAGAGCGATGCTCAAATATGATGGACGCGGACTTTAAAACGCGGGTAGTACGGGAATGCAATTTGCCACAGTAGAGTGAGTAGAATACCGATACCAACCGTCACGATGTCATAAAAATCTGGATGGCAGCAATCGCGATATCATAAAAACGTGTTCCCGAAATTAAAAATTATACAGCGAATTTTAGATGAAATATCAGATCTCACAGAAATTTAGGAATCATTAAAGTAATAGACTTCTACCGAAAAATACTATCTTCAACCACTGAAAATGTCAAAGCAATTGATTTTTTAGTGAATGAGGAAATCTATTTTTTTAATAAGGTAACAGGAAGAAGAAGAATAACAACAACATAATGAGAGAGCTATGCTCAAATATATGGACAAGGAGGGCGAAACGAAATATTTCATCACCAATTTCCCGAAAATCATATGCGGTAATTTATCGGTACTTGTATCGGGGTACCGTGACGGTAAAGGGACTTCCGCAAGGTGCGCATATTTTGATGACGTCATATCAAACAAAAAACGAATTTCATAGAGCTCACAGAAGTAATTCGGAAAGAATAAAATAATATAGCCTTCTAAAACAATTGGTTAGATTAGTGAATGAGAAAATCAATAAAAAGAAGAAAAATAGCAACAACATAATAACAAAACGATTCATAGGTCCTCTTCGTTTCGAATAATGAATTGAAAGCATGTACCCCAAACAGCTGTTTAAGAAAGCATGTTTGACGCAATGACTCTGTCAGAGTACAATGAGCAACCGGGGCAAAATCGGCGGCGCCCCGTCGACGTTCGGCGAAGGCTTTGCGAGCGAAAAATGAACCATGTCGGGAGAATATGGCTAGTGTAGACAGTCTGTGCAACCGATATTGAGGTTGCATTCTTTTTTTTCACAAAGATAGACACCTCCACATTATTAATCAGAATGGGAATTACCAAAGCGTATATATAATACAAGCGAGGCAACGCTCCGACAATGGACGCCACCTTGTGCCTATTGTTCTCGGCCATCTAACACGGCGCCTCATGAGAAGTTCGCACACAATCATTGAAACATACCTATTATTTTCACTAATATTTTAGGTAGAAAAATTTTGAAGGTCGCGTTTTGTAGGAGAATCTTAGCCTAATACGTTGATAATTTTCCATATTTGCCAAATTACATTTATATTACATTAAATTGTCCTTGAAGACAAGTATACCGGTTCCGAGTTGCTTCTGAAGTAAGTTGGTTATTCTAATCGTCATAATTAACCATTTGACAATGGCATTCCTTATGACGTCACAGATGAAAATTTGTATTTATTCGTTAAAATTACCGGCCGACTCAACTTCGCTTCAATGGCTGTTTCTATTTCCTGGTTAACATTTTTCGTCCGTGAATCTCCATAATGCCATACTGCTCTGTTCCAAGCTGTACTAGAAGAACAAATGACATTGTAGAATTGTTGCGGAGACATTTTACAGCGTCAAATTGGCGTAACACTATAAAATCTTCGAAAAAATGACCAAAAATGGTTCCACGTTATGTTAGTGATCAAATTTAACGCATTAGATAGTTTTTTATGCTTAATATTGTTATATATTTAGGTAGCATATAGCTTAAAGTTCAAAACTCATCCTTCGGCTTCATTCTAGCCCTTATAACAGCTGACTTATTCGATTCGGTACAACAACATGACGAAAATTTTCCATAAGAAATTGTTTCGCGTTTCCCAAATATGTCACAAGATGGCGTCCATGAACTTGTTTAACATTAGGCAAGTTGGTTGCTGGCCCTTGGAAATTACCACCCAAATCCAAAAGACCGCAGCATCATTCATTGCAACAACGATCGAATTTTAACTAATTTATCGAATATTCTACCAATTTTTAATACGTTTGTGGCCCACATGAAAATGTTTCCGTGGCCCAGAAATAGGCCACGACACACTGGTTGAGAACAGGTGTATTATAAGAAAATCCTCGAATGCACTGTTCACAGGAATTCCAAAAAATACTGTATAAAAGGTAAAGCAAAGGCAAGGCGCTAGCAACTTCGCCTCTCTAAAGAATAGGAGTCGGATTCGGAGTCAGAATCCGGAGCCAACTGCTGGACTATTTCAAATATTATCACAGCCAATAAGTAAACTAGTATTTGTGGTGACCAAGATTCATGTCAATGTCAAAGTGGAAATTACGAAGTCTTCGCAATATTTTCCTCTTCTGTGTGCGCTCTAGGCCTGAGGCTACTAGAGATCACATTAATGATATTATCTCGGGGGAGAGGAAAGGTGATAAGTCGACTTAATAACCATATAGAGATCATCTCGTTCTAGCGCTCAGCACGATACGCCAAACAGGCGAGCGAAATAATCATATTCTGCCTGAAACTGAAAGAGACATATTGGTTCAAGATTTTTTGGATCAATTTTTAGTAACGATAAAAAAAATCGCCCATTGTTCGGAATAAGTTACCATCAAATCAAAACATCATTCGCAGTCAAGGCCTGTCAAAGGGTCAATGCAGGTACTCTTAGCAATTTGTGTCTTGATTGCATGCTTACTGCTTAGTAACCAATTTGGGGATTCACCCTAAAGTGAGATAAGTTTTCAATTTGAAGAAAACAATCCAACCGAAATATTCGTTAGGCTTTGTGGGATTATCTGAGCGTTGAAACGGTTCTTGGTTTGAAACAAATCGGGTATTGTTCGATGATTTCTCTGCTCAAAACCGGTCATAACTGGTTTTAACCAGTCATTTCAATAATCTGAACGTTATCGGTACATTACATAGGAAACCAATTTCCTCTTTTGCCCCCAACGAGACTCTAGTTAAGTATATACTGGTATATAAGATTTTAATATTGCTTTAAAATAACCAAAATCTGTCTGAAACTGAACAAGACATATTGATTCAATTTCTAGAAATAAAAAAAAATAGGTAAGTACTCGGAATAAGATTCCATCAAATCAAAACTTCACCTCGTAGTCGAAGCTTATAAAAGGGGCCAATGCAAGTAGCAATTTGTGCCTCAATTGTGTTTTTAGTAACCACTTGGGGATTCACCCTAAAGTGAGACAAAGTTTTCAATTTTAAGAAAACAGTTCAACTAAATTATTTGTTATCCGTTGTTAGAATGTCAGGATTGTTTATTCTCGTCGCCAGGTCTCACTAACAAAGGAAATGACACAAAGGACCAAAAGAAAACTAATAAATGAAGGGATTGGTTGAATTACGCGGTGTGGGAACCGTCTGAGGATAATCTCTCTCTTTGTTGAAGGATGG